GGACCATCAGTTGTGTTGTGCAGAAGTCAGGTTAATACACAGCCGACAGCCCTATTGGACAACTGTTAAAATTCATATTATGGCAAGAACCAATCAGCTAACTAAAGAAAAACGAGTGGCCATCATTACTTTAAGAAATGAAGGTCAGTCAGTCCGGAAAATTGCAAAAACTTTAAATGTGTCCCCAAGTGGAGTCGCAAAAACCATCAAGCGCTACAACGAAACTGGCACACATGAGGACCGACCCAGGAAAGGAAGACCAAGAGTCACCTCTGCTTCTGAGGATAAGTTCATCCGAGTCACCAGCCTCAGAAATCGCAAGTTAACAGCAGCTCAGATCAGAGACCAGATGAATGCCACACAGAGTTCTAGCAGCAGACCCATCTCTAGAACAACTGTTAAGAGGAGACTGCGCCAATCAGGCCTTCATGGTCAAATAGCTGCTAGGAAACCACTGCTAAGGAGAGGCAACAAGCAGAAGAGATTTGTTTGGGCCAAGAAACACAAGGAATGGACATTAGACCAGTGGAAATCTGTGCTTTGGTCTGATGAGTCCAAATTTGAGATCTTTGGTTCCAACCGCCGTGTCTTTGTGAGACGCAGAAAAGGTGAACGGATGGATTCCACATGCCTGGTTCCCACTGTGAAGCATGGAGGAGGAGGTGTGATGGTGTGGGGGTGTTTTGCTGGTGACACTGTTGGGGATTTATTCAAAATTGAAGGCACACTGAACCAGCATGGCTACCACAGCATCCTGCAGCGACATGCCATCCCATCCGGTTTGCGTTTAGTTGGACGATCATTTATTTTTCAACAGGACAATGACCCCAAACACACCTCCAGGCTGTGTAAGGGCTATTTGACCAAGAAGGAGAGTGATGGAGTGCTGCGGCAGATGACCTGGCCTCCACAGTCACCGGACCTGAACCCAATCGAGATGGTTTGGGGTGAGCTGGACCGCAGAGTGAAGGCAAAGGGGCCAACAAGTGCTAAACACCTCTGGGAACTCCTTCAAGACTGTTGGAAAACCATTTCAGGTGACTACCTCTTGAAGCTCATGGAGAGAATGCCAAGAGTGTGCAAAGCAGTAATCAGAGCAAAGGGTGGCTATTTTGAAGAAACTAGAATATAAAACATGTTTTCAGTTATTTCACCTTTTTTTGTTAAGTACATAACTTCACATGTGTTCATTCATAGTTTTGATGCCTTCAGTGAGAATCTATAATGTAAATAGTCATGAAAATAAAGAAAACGCATTGAATGAGAAGGTGTGTCCAAACTTTTGGCCTGTACTGTATATATAATTTTAAGCAAGATGATGCAACTTTTGATCAAAACAAGAAAAAAAAAAACGATCTTCATTTTCTTTCAAAAGTGTGTGTGTGTGTGTGTGTGTGTGTGTGTGTGCACATGTGCGCGCGTTCAATTCATTGTACTCAGAAATTTTAAAGCTACAGTCCACGACAAACACAAGTTGCTTGCTGTCGTCAGTGTTGTTCCTTTACCATCTATGCCAGACAGAAAATATTGATTGGACCAGCCAGTCCGGCTGGGCCTGGGGCAGGCACATATTGCGTGGCTATGAGGACACAGCTGAGCGTCCTAATTGAGCCTTCATTGAGAATTGTGTGTTATCGATCTACCACCACAATTTGGAGAAGCAGACAACTGAACCTGCATTGTTAGATTGGTTCCAGAAGTTACCTCATTACACAAACTAACCAACTGATTAAGGGGAAGACCAGTGACTCATTGGGCCCTATTTAGATGGTCTAAACCGCGAAGCGCCAGGCGTGCAATGCATGGGCGTGTCCCAGTCACTTGCTAGTTAGACAGCGCGTTTTTAGACTGTGCGCCATGGCGGAGAGTCTAAAAGGGTTGGACTTACTCTGTGAATTAGTCATGGGTGTGTTTTGGGCGTATCATTCAATAAGCCAATCAGAGTGTCACCTCTCATTCCCTTTAAAAGAGGCGCGATTGGAGCACATGGCGGAGAGCTAGTTAGATGGCAGACCAACCAACCTGAAAGAGTTAGAGCTTAGATTCTCTGTCAGATATGACTTTTTTTTTTTTTTTTAAAGCTATGATTTGATAATGTTATAGGCTATGTATTGTAGCAACCCTGCAGTAAATGTTCTGTTATAATGTCAATGTTCTGTGAGTTAATGACATGTTTGGGATTGAATGAGTATAGGTAGGGGGGCGGGGGGTGAGTGTGACGGGGATGAGGGCTGTGTGATTGTGCGTGCTGGTATGTGTATGAGCGAGCTGGAGGAGAGAGCAGGAGTGCACAGTTGGAGTTACAGCTAAGTTGTTGTTTGTTGGTTGTTTTCGCGTGGTTATGGCCAACAGTAACCTGTACTGTTCAGTAATAAACGGTGGTTTGCCGAATAACTGTGTCATCCTTTCCACACGTCCTGTCGGGCGCTACAGTATTATAAAAAGTAAAATTAAACCACACTTTGTATGACACATAAAGTTACAACAAAGTTAGTTACAATGTTGCAACATTGTACGCTCACAGCCCTTCACCACCTGGATCCTAAAATAAACACCTGTTTTATTACATAATCATGCTTCCATGTTGCGCCATTCATTAAGATCCTATATTTCTGTCATTCAAATAACAAGAATTGTGGTTTAATACTCTTAATTATAACAGCCAACTTATTGAAAAATGTCAGGTTTAAATCGGGCTCGGGCCGTTAATTACAGTTAATTGGACGGGCCGGGCCGGTCCTGGACATAACATGCACGGGCTCAGGCCGGGTCGGGCTGGATTTTTTTGGCCCGATCTAAGCTCTAGAAAGAGTGAGCGTTTTACAGCTGAGGAGACGGATCTCCTCGTTTAAATACCTACGTGTTGCCATGATTGGTCAAATAATTTCACAATTTCATTTGTCATTATTACAAATTATGATGATCATTATTACTGCGATTAGATCATTCTGATTAATGACTGACCATTCAGACATGTTTCTGATAAATATTTTAATGTGCACAATAATAACCTTTCACATTGTAATCATATTTTTATTTGTTATCTTTTGCATATGTGTGGCTGTTCCGTGTGTGTCTGAGCAGAGTGCACGCGCGTTGTGCACCCGCCTAGAGACGCATATTACTAACTTGTTTAACAGCGAAATACTGCGGCGTTGACTTTAGACCAGGTTTTCGTTCGTCACTGGTGCATTTGCTTTTAACGTCATCTAAGTAGCAACGCGCCATGACTGCGCCTGACCACTCCTCATTTTTAGACCAACACACCCAGAGAAGTGCAAGTTCATTTGCTAGTTAGACGATGAGGGCACAGGGCGTGAAAATGACAACTGCGCCTGCATCTAAATAGCAATGACACTTACAACATGGATTGTGCGCCCTTCGCCATCCGCTTTAGACCATCTAAATAGGACCCATTGTGTTCTTTGAGGTAAAATTACTGTTTCTGTTAGTGAAGTCTGGTGGCATTGAGGAGAGCATAACGTAATGGCATCAGTTTCCAGTTTTAAAGGGCCATCTGACAGCAAGATGAAGCAGTCAAAATTTAACATACACTTAAAATAATGTTGAAGTTTTTAGGCGGTCCTGTTTTTGTGCGGCCAAAGTAAATTTTGCTGCTGCCCCCGTTCACAGTCACCAGCCTCCTTTGACAGAAATAGTAATTTCACCTCGTAGCTCTCATGCCATTCAAGTGCTTTATTTAGGATTTTTCTGTTAAATCTAATTTTGCAAAGTAGTAAAATGCCATTTCTGTCAGAGTATAATAAAGAACATTTTGCCCCACCACCATTCTCTTCCTCCTTTCACATGTAGTAGCACCCACATACCGCTGTCTCTGAAATACAAAAGTGACTGAAGTGAGATTTCTCTATCTACCTGTTTACATGATTTCTTTTGATCTTTCCCTCGCTGCACCCAATGTGCGATGACATCATCAACATGCAAATGAGCGTATGACATCACCTGGTGACTTAAAGCAACTTTTGGAGCTAGTGCTAGCTACTTTCATTGGAAAAGAGTTACCAACACTGTGTATGCATGGTTAGCTTGTTGTTAGCTGTGTGGCCAGTTCTCAAGCTCAGTTAAAAAAGTACTAGGAGCACCTTTTTGATATGATGCGCTGGTCAAAGTGCTCCCCAGTGCCCTGCCCCCTGCTTTTCTGCCAAAGAAAAACACTATGGAAACACTAACATTACTGAATCCATCTACTGACTTTATGACTCTTGCTGCCATGGTATACTTTATGTACTGCCATACTTTATGTACTAAATATCCTATTTCAGTCAGCACACTCCCTGTCTCAGCTTTTGGTTTGATATTGTGGACTGGAGGAATAAATCGTTAAGGGTGGTGCCCCTCCATTGTTACCACCTCTGAGGGCCCCTAAGCAAGGCACTTCAGCTCCAACTGCTCCAGTAGAGCTCCTCAGTGGCCAAATTAGATTGTTGTAATGGGTAGCTGCCAGCATTTGTACTCAGAGCAATTACCCTGGTAAAAAGTGACTTATTAAATAACTATTGCTTTACAAGCTGATATTATGGCAGATGAGATATTTAATTCTTATTTTATGGCAGCAGTTTAAGGAGCATACATTAAAATCACTTTGAATACACTGTGTTAGTGTATATAACAGACCCTATATGTGCTTTGGAGGGTGTGTCCAAAATGTGCTAACAGCAGGTACCTGAACTGAATTGGTGTGCCTTTTTCTTACAGTTAAATGTGAATGTTAAGTAAAAAAAAAATGAATGCTTAGAATTAAATTGACACTTAGTCAAAAAGGCCCCAATTTTCATAAAAGTAAGTGCAGAACTACAAATGTCAGCTCTTTATTTCATAAATATGACAATCTGCATGTCTGGCTGTCACCTATCACAATAACTGCGTCAGCCTGAAGCCATGAATGACATCTGCTTTGCAACTGTATTATTTATGTCGTGCCACAATTACCCTCTTTCTCAATCTTTCTCAATCTTTCCCTCTGTCTCTCTCTCTCTCAGTGGGATTCCAGGGAAGAAGTGTGGAGTCATTATCTTTACTGCAGAGGAGCTCAGTAACTGCAGGGTCAGTACACACACACACACACACACACACACACACATGCACACAACCTAAGTGTTGCTGGCATATTTTCTTATCGCCTGCATTCTGTCTTTGCCCCGATACTGTTGTTGTAATACCTTGCAATCCTTTCCACCCCAACACATAAACACCTCCACACACAGCCATGCACAAATACACAGAAAATATTTAATGAGGGGCCAATCTTTCAAAAATCATAATGATGAAATGTAACAAATTAAACCAGTAAATAACCCTCCCCTAAACACACACATGCACACACCCCCAAGTTAATTGTATTCAGTGTTCAGCGCTGATAAATGCTCGATGCTGTGTTACCCAGACTCTCTAAATATGTGTAAAATTAACTGTCAAGATGGTTTCCTGCTATAAAATAAGTGATTTTTCTCCTCCAATTTTGCCATTCCCCAGCCACGATAATATATTACTACCAACCAGGCAGTCAGATACTAACACAGTTTCTGTGTGTGTGTGTGTGTGTGTGTGTGTGTGTGGTGTGTGTGCTTGCTCCAGAGACCATTATGTGAACAGGCTTCTCCTAGTTGTGTTTACCATCGTTACTCTGGGAGGTTTTACTCTTGACAAAATCCAAATGCTCTTCGGAACTTATGATAAGTGTGTGTGTGTGTGTGTGTGTGTGTGTGTGTGTGTGTGTATGGACTGATAACCCCTATCTGCCAATGACAGACTTAGGTTTGACATGTTGCCATCCTACTGGAGGCAATGACTAAAGGACCTCATTAAGAGCAATCTACTGCGTCCATCCATCCATCCATCCATCCATCCGTCCGTCCGTCTGTCCATTCGTCCGTCCATCCGTCTATCCGTCCATCCATCCATCTGTCCATCCATCTCTGCCAACCGCAGATACATTTAATTTGTACATTTCATACTTACCATATCAACGTTTCTACAGTGACATAGTTTATAAGCTGACTTTGTCACCTGGAAGTGGAGGGGATGGTGGATGGCATGACAACCAGGCTAGACTCCTGCCAAGCTGCAGACCCCTGCAGGCTACTGTTTGAAACCACCAAACAACAGAACTCATTTTCTTGGCTTTAAAGCCATTACACCTCTTTAGCAGCTTTATAGCCACCAGGCATTGGTGTTTTTTTAGATTGCTGAGACATTGCTGACATTCCAGCAGGGATTGTGCCCTCTAACAGTATTTAATAATTTACAAATGTAATCTATCTGTGGTTTGCAGAGATGTGCAATGCCAACATCCAGCCATTCATCCATTCATCCATTCATCTATCCATCCACATCCCAGTCACCAGACAAACATTTTGGCATTCTACATTTCTGCAAACCACAGATACGTTTCATTTGTACATTTCATACTTATCATATCAATGCATCTACACTCACCGGCCACTTTATTAGGTACACCTGTTCAACTGCTTATTAATGCAAACACCTAATCAACCAATAATGTAGCAACAACTCAATGCATTTAGGCATGTAGACATGGTAAAGGCGACCTGCTGAAGCTCAAACTGAGCGTCAGAATGGGAAAGAAAGGTGATTTAAGTGACTTTGAATGTGGCATGGATGTTTAAATGAGTATTTCAGAAACTGCTGATCTACTGGGATTTTCACACTCAACCATCTCTAGGGTTTACAGAGGATGGTCTGAAGAAGAAAAAACACCCAGTGAGCAGCAGTTCTCTGGGTGAAAATGCCTTGTTGAAGCCATATGTCAGAGGAGAATGGCCAGAGTGGTTCAAGATGATAGAAAGGCAACAGGAACTCAAATAACCACTAGTTATAACCAAGGTCTGCAGAAGACCATCTCTGAACCAACAACATGTTTGCCTGGTTTGATGAGTCTTGATTTCTGCTGCGACATTCAGATGGTAGGGTCAGAATATTAATAGTAAACAACATGAAAGCATGGATCCATCCTGCCTTGTATCAACGGTTCAGGCTGGTGGTGGTGATATAATTGGCCACTTTGGACCCCTTAGCACCAACTGAGCGTCATTTAAACACCACAGTCTACCTGAGTATTGTTGCTGACCGTGTCCATCCCTTTATGATCACAGTGTACCCATCTTCTGATGGCTACTTCCAGCAGGATAACGCACCATGTCACAAAGCTCAAATCATCTCAAACTGGTTTCTTGAACATGACAATGAGGTCACTGTACTCCAATGGCCTCCACAGTCACTAGATCTCAATCCAGTAGAGCACCTTTGGGATGTGGTGGAACGGGAGATTTGCATCACAGATGTGCAGCCGACAAATCTGCAGCAACCGTGTGATTCTATCATGTCAATATGGACCAAAACATCTTAGGAATATTTCCTTGTTGACTCTATGCCACGGAGAATTAAGGCAGTTCTGAAGGCAGGAGGAAGTCCAACCCAGTACTGGCAAGGTGTACCTAATAAAGTGGCCAGTGAGTGTAAAGTAACGTAGTATATGAGCTGACTTTGATATCAGGTGTCTTTTACCACGACAATGCTGGGTATCCATCCATCCACCCTCTCATGGCCATCTCACCACAGAAGCCAGAATAACATCGTTTCTCATCAACTGCAGTAACTATCCATTTATATGTATGAAGCCATTCCCTCTCTGACTATATTTCAAACAGCACATAATAAAATCACAATCTCCCACTAGTAAACTCTGCAATTTAAAAGAAACGCTGGATTGCAATCACTGTAATCTATGTATGCATTGCTTATCAAGTCGTTCCGACCGTTGGTGTTTGGGATCCTGATCCACATTTGCGTTGCCAATATGCACGAGCTTTTACACTGCCAATTACTTTGCATTCAGAGGGATACTCAGCTCCACGATTGTTGTGGCCGTGTCCTGTGAAAACCTAGTGCCTCCATCGCCAAGAAATGAGTTCCCCGAGAAAACAAATTGCTGACTTAGAAATGAAATTGCATCAGAATGACTGTATTGATGTTCAACTAAAGCTGCTCATCTTCTCTCACAGGATATTGCTACCATGCAGTTGTGTGCCAACAAGCTGGACAAAAAAGACTTCTTTGGCAAATCCGACCCCTTCTTGGTTTTCTACCGGAGTAATGAGGACGGGACGTGAGTTTGAGCATTTTACCACCCACTTTAACTCCCAGGAGATGGTAGTAATATGTAAAACATTTCATGGATGGCTTGTAGGATGTAAACAAATACAAATAAATGATTCAGATATAAACAGATAATGTGCTCTGAACAGACATGAACAGAGTCAATGCTCCACAGTTGTTACATCAGACATTGAAGCCTGAATTAAGGGCAGTCTTAAAAGCAAATGCAAAATGGGAGAGCCTTTGACATTTTTGGGAAAAAAATCTGTTTTTTCAGACACTTCACACCACCATCCGAGCCTCCTGCCATTGCTTATACACTCTCCAGTTTTATGATTTGATTTGCGATGTGGCCAGATGTGATTCTGATAATGGTTTCTTATTGTTAAAGTCTCTCATTTACCATCACTTACTTTTTTATTTTTTAAAGGAGAGGTTCAAATACAAATCATGCATTTAAATCTAAAGCGTGTTAGACCCCAAAAGGAAATTCCAAGCTGCAACCTTAAAATGTACCATCTAACAATGTCATTTGTCCCTGAAAACTTTATGTCCAAATGTAACAAAGAACAGTGCATCATGACCACCAAGGAGGTCATGTTTTCCATTAGGGTTGTTTGTTTGCTGGTTTGTTTTTCAGTTAGGTTTGTTTGTTCATTTGTCAGCAGGATTATGGAACAACAATTGGCTTGGTCGAAGGATGTAGTGTGGGCCTAGGGAGAACCCATTAAATTCTGGAGTGGATCAGAATCACAAGACAGATATACATGTTTTTGTTTGTTTTTTTCACTTTTGTCAACATAGCACAATAGGGCATTTGGCCTTGGTGGAGGTCTGCGCTCTCCAAGTGCCCTTCTAGTTTATTTTAAGATTTGAATCGCATGAGGATGGCTGTTGCTACAAGCCTTTTTCAGCACTCGTTCCGAAGTGGGTAAAATGCAGCATGAAGGTACTGTATAAAATAATAGATTTAGCCACTGTGACGTCTCCCATTGGTTTATGGACTCCTGTTTGGCCGCTGCTCTCTTGGATTTTTGAAGCCAGAAGTGACCATATTTAGACAAGAGGGTGGAGCTAGTGCTCATGCTAGCTGTTAGCTTGGTTAGCACGGTGCAGCTACATTAACTGTGATAATGTCAATCTTAATTTTTTGCTAGCAAAAACAGGCTTGAATCCTTAAAATCAAATGTACTTTCAGGGAAAAACTAAACATATGACTCCTTAGGGGTCTTTCAGTTCAACCAAACACTGGACAAGACCTGGATTAGCTGACTATAACAATACAATGTCATTTAAATGAATTGAAAACACACTGAAATAGCAACAGCTATGGCTGCGACTTTACTCTGTGAATCTGGGGTTACACTATGGATACGTTACCAGTGCTGTCACTGTGATAGTGATTTGTCAATGGACAGCACCCACCTGTCACTCAAAGTTCCCACTCCTTTAAATATGCTTAATTTTAAGCCTTAATCATATTTAAATGGTTGAGTTATATAACTAATCCCCACATACAGTGGTCATGAACTGGAAAATTAGCTATAGGGACCAAAACCATTTTTTGTACCAGGCTGTAAACATGTTATTTCTGATGTAAAGTTAGGCATTTTAATATGGGGGTCTATGGGGACTGACTTTTTTTTTTTTTAAGCCAGCCCCCAGTGGCCATTTAAGAAACTGCAGTTTTTGGCACTTCCACAATGGCTTCATTTTTTCAGCACCAAAGCAGGGGCAACATAGTAGTGGGACTGATTACACAGTGCTCCAATGGGAGGGGGGTCCTCGAAAAATCTGCAATGAAACGTGTGTTTGCAATTTTTTTATTCTTAAGGAATTTGTGATACAACTAAATTAAAACTTGCTGAATACATCAACTGAAAGACTGAACTTTTCTATAAAAAACAACTGGAGCTCTCTGAGGGCCCCTCTCAACCCGCAAAAGGTGCAAAATGGTTTAGTCTGCCCCTGCACTAGGATTTGTGTCTGAATACAGTTAAAGCTGAGTGAATGGCTGTTGCTGATTAACTTTGTAGAAACAAAATTCAAAATCTGCGTGAAAGAAACATGGATCAAGACAGGAAAGGTGGGGGGCCACAGAGAAAGCTTATGCATATGACCACAAAATCTGATGCTACGCCCTTGTTTTGAGGTTGCTTCTTTGGTACAGCTGGTCAAAGCACTGCAGATTGGTAATACTCAGTGTAAAGTTGGTTGTTGCCTAAGTCTCTAAACAATGTATTGCACAAAGAAAAGAAGTGTACTTGGAGGTGAAAACCACATGTGTTTAGACAGACAATATCAACTTTCACATCTAGTTTTCACTTGTTTTCTATACAAATCAACTTTTTTGTATGATCAGTCATACCCCACTAACTCCTGAGGCTTATCTCAACCTTAAAGATTATTACCTCTTTCCACTGTTTTGCCTTGGAGAGATTTTCGTAGCAATTTTCAAAAACTCAATGTGCAATTCTGCCATGTCCCCCAGATATACTTAAACATATATAAAAAGAACACAACAACCTGCAAAAGCATTCTGTGGCATTGCAGAGGAAGCTGCTGATAAGTGATGTGGGATTATTTTCACAGGTACAATGTGAGCAATATGACTGTGCTCTCTCTTTAGTGGCCATGTGTCTGTTATTTTACTGGCAGGTTTACCATCTGCCACAAGACAGATGTGATCAAGAACACACTGAACCCGGTGTGGCAGTCCTTCACCATCCCTGTTAGAGCTCTCTGCAATGGCGACTACGACAGGTCAGAAAATGCTTTTCACAACTCTATTTAGTGTCATTGTGAGATATTTATGTTCTGTTTAGAAGCAACATGTATGAAACAGCATAATAAACACAGCGAAGATGATACCTGATTTCATTGCTGTTTACTACTGTGTCCTGCAACACACGTCACTTTCTATGGTTGACTGAAGCAGGTGCATTGCTGAAATGCAACTACGGTGGAATTTATATATTTGCGTCGAATCGACGCCTTAGGCTCTGTGTCACTGTAGAGCCTATGCTGTACCCTACGCCTTAGCCCGACATGCACCTCACCAGAAATGTAACTACGCGTCACCGCAACGCAGACCTCAGGTCTATTTTTGCAAGCTGAAGCCATTTCCCTCAGTGAAAACAAAACATTTTGTTTACTTTAATTTCAGAGATAAGAAACAAAAAATTGTGAAGACGATAAAGTCATCACAAAATCACATTTTTAGCCTTGTGTGCGGTTTATCTTGTATTCATATGAGCAGAAGTAAGTCTCAGCTCTTGCTAGGCTTCTTCATACATATAAAATGCCATAGGCTTGTGCTAATAACATTAGCATCTTGGAAAAAGTGTTTGATATAAGAAAGATGTTTGTCAGTGAACCTTGTGAGCTATAATTTTGTAATGTTACCTTTGTTAAATGTTGCTGTTGTCCCTGGCTTCATATGAGTAGAAGAAAAGTTCGCTAGCTGCTAGGCTAATTTATACAATGTAAAATGCCATCGGCTTGTGCTAAAAACATTACCATGTTATATTTGTGGGGAAAATTGTTCAGCAAGAAACAAATGCTTTGTCTATGAACCCTGCAAGTTATAGTGAAGTCAATTTGTGTATTTGTTTTTGAAATTGTCTCTGTTAAGACATGTTTAATGTATGTTTTGGGTGTGTTTTTGAGTCAACTATACTTTACAGCACTCCACAGAAACCTCTGCCGCCGACTAGTATTTTGGAGGTGTAACTGCAGAGTGACAGACACAACACCGCAAAGTATAAATGCTCACAACGGCGTAGGCCTCATGTGTAGGCTATAGCGTAGGGTCTGCCGCACAAGTATAAATTCTTAATCTTCTTAAGTAGCCTTCATTTACTCAAGTATAGTACTTAAGTATAATGTTATGCTCTACTTCTACTTCGCTACATTTCAGAGGCAAATATTGTACTTTTTATTGCACTTTTATTTTACAGCTTAAGTTACTTTGCAAATTTAGATTATTGATACAAAATATGAATACACTAATTGATTATAATATATTGTATTATCAAAGGTAAAGCATTCAATTAAGTAATAGAATAATTAAACTTAGCTCCACTCTTGCCAGCTGCAACATTAAAGTGATTTACATATGAATGCGTCAATAGTTAAAATTCAATAAACTATGTGATTCTGAAATAAGCTATACTGAGTACTGTACTTTTACTTACAGTATGTATGATTTTGAATGCAGGATGTTTAACAGAGTATATTTATAGTGCAGTATTGCTATGTTAACTCAGTGGAAAGATCTGAATACTTCTTCCACCACCACTTCTATGGGAACACTTAAGGCACTGGCAGACTCTCATGCGGATGACATCACCTGTTGCTGGGGCGGTCAGAATAATGCCAGCAGTCGGTCATGTTGTCCCAGGGACCAGCACTGGTGTTATTGAGACTGACTCAGTTGTCACACAGCACTCTGTTATGCATTCAGAGTCAGGTTGGACTGTGCTGTGCAGCTGTGATAGCCACTTGCTACCAGATACAGTGTGCATACGTACAGGAGTGCGTACAGTGCCACTTTTGCAAAAGTAGGAGCAATTATCCTCTATTTCTCCTTGTGACATTTTAAAAAGTTTTTGTGACTTATCATCCCTTTAGACTAAGGTTATCTGCATAAGGAACTTTTAGATAAAAACTCCTCTTTAGGCTTTTTTCCTCTTAAGATTAAAAAGAGACAAAAAAGGAATAATCATTTGATATCTTGTTAAAGGATAGGGCTGACATTATCACATTTAAATTCCATGAACAGACCAAAATACACCACATTAGTCCTGCTCTCAGTGCTCTTTTTGCAACCTATCTACAGGCAAAAGCCATCGAGGGTGCAGTACAAAATAAAGACAAAAGAATTTAATGTCGATTTGTCATTAGATTTAGTTTGTATGATATATATATTCAAGATAATACGGGGGCCAGGGGGAGTCTGCTTAGGTCGCCAAGTGTGCTAGGTCCAACACTGCTTATCTACCCTGTCTCTTACACTCAACCCCAAGTCCATTTGTTACTATCAATAGGCAGAGGGTGCACTCCGAGAGGACTTTACACTGTATTGCATTTACTGGGGACTATTTTATTATCTATTTGGTGCACTAGTAAGTATTTGGTGTATTTACGATGGTGTGTCAGAGAAATGAACAACTGCAACTCAAGCTGCAGATACACAGACTACACTTGTTAGTAGGAGCAGTTCATGTGCAGGTAGTGCACGTACAGTAGCATCAGTAGATGTATCATTATTATGTTAGGTTCAGACAAGACATGGGGTGAATTCTGTATGCAAATTTATACCTTGCATGCAAAATCAATGGAAGGATGCAAGTGGATGCAGATAAACCAAAATTCACCCAATATGGTGTGAACTGAGGCATCTCTGCAAGTTGGCAATGTTTTACTTTGAGTGAAAAATGTGAGAGATTGGAGGAAAATAACAGAAAGAACTGGCGACTCACATATGGCTGTAAATATATCTTCGAGGTGCTGAATACAAACTTAAAAGCTGTACTCGCTTTTCTCTCCTGCATGTGGATTTGATGATTTTCACTGGCTGAAAGCAGTAAACACAAAATGGCCTTGTAATTCAGAGTTCACATAAGGACCTGTACTTACTGCGCCACTAATCCTCTTCAGCGTGACACTATTGAATCGGGGAATGTGTAATTGCACTGTTCGCAGTGTGATGGAGTGAAAAGACATTTCTTTTTAATTCAATAGAACTTCAGGTTCTCTTTTTTCCGACAGGAGATGATCTGGTAAAGAGACCTTCAGAAATAAGATATTCTTTGTCTATTTCAGGACTGTGAAGGTAGATGTCTATGACTGGGACCGAGATGGAAGGTAAACTCATCTGTGGATAACCACTCATTGTGGCCCCATGATTCACATTAATGTCTCTCAAATGTCAGAAGAAAATGAAATGTCTTGTGTACATTCTGTGGTTGGAAATTTGAAGTGTTTTAGTGCGCTACAAAACAACTTAATATGCAGCAAGGACAGAGATAGGGCAGATACTGGGAGATTGACAGAGACAAAAATGGAGAAACAGATGTGGATGGAGACAAAGACATGGCAATTTCTCTCTGATAATAAAATCGGTGTTCATGCCTGCCTGTCTTCATGGGTGTTTGTCTGCAGCCATGACTTCATTGGTGAGTTCACCACCAGCTACAGAGAGCTGTCTCGGGGGCAGAACCAGTTCAATGTCTATGAGGTGAGACGTGACATGGGTTTGTTTTGTTGTTTCCTACCATTTTTGTCATAATATGTAAACCTTGAAACTCCAGTTTAGATGATTTTGATATTTTGACCCTGGCTGGCCAGCTCTCCAAAGGCTGAAAACCTCTACAACCCTCTATAACCCTCTCAAAGGCAAGTACAGCCTTTTAGAAAGTGAAGTAGTAATAGGTGATAAAACAGGTGCTCTTAAAGTAAAAGGCTGAAAATATTTTGGAGAGCTAATTCTTTCCCCTGACATCAAAATTATGCAACCTTCAGAGGAATGGATGGTTTCACAAACAGAAGCACAGATGGATAAATAAAATCACAAGTATAGAAGGTCCTATCATGTTCAGTTTTTAATGTTTTGGTTTCTTTTGTTGTTTTGATACAAGATAAGTAATTGAAATGTTGAATTAGATTGAATACACCAGATACAGAGATCTGTGACTTAAAACAATGCAGGCCAGGGGCGTAAAGATAAGATAAAAAACATGAACATCTATTATGCCCATAAAATAATGGACGCAGCTACCATGACATCACCCATTGGTTTGTGGACTCCTGTATTGAATCCTTGAGTTCTGCATTTTGATTGTCACCATCCTTCTGTTCTGGAGCCAGAAGTGACCATATTTGGGCGAGAGGCTAGAGCTTTGTAGGAGCGAGGGGTACATCTGACTGTGAAGTAAACAATCAGCAGACAGCCTGTCACTCAAAGCTGATAGCTATTTTAGATTTAGTCTTAGTCTTGAGACAAAAATGAGACAGTCCAGATTTGGGTGCAGTCCTGCGGGAATCAAATGTGAAGTCCAGCAGCCAGTGTCTGCTTGCTCTGCTGCTGTTCAGCGGCGAACAAGCAGAGCTGCTAACAGCCACTGCTGTAACTAACAAACTCCAAGAATCCATTCATTCCACCATCCACAGTCAGACACACATGACTGCTTATTTACTGCTGAATTACAGCTCACAACTCATACCAATGACTGACGCTGCTCCAGTGTGAGTGTTTTTGCTGGCTAGTGAAACATCCTGGTGCAGACTATTTACTGGAGTTAACCAGCCTGTCGCTCATGCAGCATTTGAAGATAATTACAGGCTATCCAATAGTCCACCACTAATTTTTTTGTCATGTCTCATCTCGTCAACAAAAATGAAACAAAGATTTCGTCTTAGTTTTTATAATCAAAATCTATTTTTAGCTCGTCATCATCTGGTTTTTATCATGGAAAATAGGGCGTTGACGACAAATTTTAATCATAGTTTTCATCAATGAAATTAACACGGACTCAAAGTAGCCTGCCCTGAATTATGTGTAACTTTATGCCTTAATAGAATGTTAACAGGTCAATTATGTAAAATTCCTTAACTGGCACATACAACTGTCAGTTATGACATCAAACCACCCTTTACAGCATCACATAACTACTTGAAACCAAACTTAAACATTTATGACCTATACTGCAGCTAGCCACCAGGGGGCAATCAAGATGTTTAGGCTTTACTTTAAGTTCACAAGTCAATGGAGACACCAAGTGTATATAGACATGGCAAATACAATGTACCCTCACAATATAATATAAATGTCATTCTTACCAAAATTAATTAAACTGCTAAAAACAAAATCATTAACTGACAATACCTTTTTATTAGATGTGCTGGGAATAAAAACCCATGAATGTCCACATCTTATTACAATCTGTTCAACAGAGTAATAATTTGACCCAAGCAAACCAATTATTAATAAAATTGCAGCACAGTGAATAAAATAATCATTAAAGTCTGTAATAATGAACTGGTCTAAAGGAGGAGAGAAAGTTTATTGATGTAATGACCATAGACGAATGGATGGACGGATGGATTAATCTCTTCACCTCTCATTTTTATCTGCTTTACTGTCTATTTATGCACAGTTAAACACAATATCACTTTCAATTTCTGGCCTCCACCACTATCAGGAATCTGTTGAATTATTCATGTTCATTACTGAACATCATTCCAGGGTATGAAGTGGTTTTACAAGTACCCTCTCAATACCTAACTTGCTTTCCCCCTATCCCCTGCAGGTTTTAAATCCCAAGAAGAAAGGCAAAAAGAAGAAATACATCAATTCTGGAACTGTGAGTACACCCACCTCTTCCATATCCTCTGTATTGGTATTTTATGTTTTATATATTTATATAGGTATCATCACCTCTTACATCTGCTTCTCTCTCACTGACTGAGACTGGCCACCTGTTTTTCTTTTTCCTTCCCGTCTACCTGGCCCCGGTTCCTTTTCCACCCTCCTCCTCTGTTTATCACCCTGCATGTGTGACTGTACGTGTGTGTGCGCATGCATGTGTGTGCGCGCGTGTGTGTGTGTGTGTGTTCGCCAGGTAACTCTGCTGTCCTTCAAAGTGGAGTCCGAGCATACCTTTGTGGATTTCATCCGAGGAGGGTGAGTGGAATAATAATTAGCCCTCTCTCTCAGTGAGTGTCAATAGCCACCATTTTGGCTGGCTGCTTTTTGAGTGTGTGTGTGTGTGTGTGTGTGTGTGTGTGTGTGTATGTAGTTATCTAGAAAATACTCAATTGAATTCCCCAAAAGCTCTTCTGTGAGCTCCACACTGAATGCATATCGGCTGTGAAGGGGTGAAGTTATTGGGGGAATTTCGCGATGGTAAATCTCGTTGGTAAATACCTAATTTATTCAGTTCATTCACTTTTAATTACTGGTTCCATTTGTTTTACCTAATTAGGCCTTCAAGATGGTGGAGGGAATATTGTCCTGCCATACTAATTAGTCAGTGAACCAGTAAACTGATTATATTGAACTTAATGCTGTTGGTGTGTATGTGTGTTGGACATGAAGTGTGTTTTGTTTTCCTTTTTCCCTCTTTGATTCCCATTTTCTTTGCAACAGAACACAACTGAACTTCACAGTGGCAATTGACTTCACAGCGTCCAATGGTAAGTCACTTACTGCTGTGTTTCAGACACATGCCTTTGTCTCGCATGTGTTTTCATTCATTGAAGTGTGTGTGTGTGTTGCATAACTCCTCACTGGCTCCCTGCCATTGCATCAAAACACAGTTAGACCAGATGTGATCTCTCAACTAGTACAGACAATATTACATAAAACGAGGCCTTTGCAGCCTACAGAATGCACCTAGGATCTCCCAGAAATGAATCAGTTGTCTTCTATAACCAATCATCACTGTTTAGCATTTGGGGATAAAGATTAATCATTATTAAAATAAGTGCTTCAATTGTCGTTTTTACATTTCTGTTTGATAAGAATAACAAAAAACAAGATATATCTTAATAAGTAAGCTTCAGGGGGGTTTACAGGTGTAGTTTTGAGCTTAATTGGGCACCAGCGGGAGAGTTCCCTTGCTTCCAGGCTTTTTACTAAGCCAAACTAATCGTCTGTTGGCTCTAGCTTTATATTAGTATCAGCCTACTTCTTTAGCTCCAGGTTAAAAAAGCTAATGAGCATATTTTTCTCTTCCTCAAACTATTTCTTTTTCAGCAAATAAATTGCCAAATTTTTATTTTGTAGTGTTTATGTTTACCTGCCCAAGCATTGCAAATGTAATGTGGCTTGTAGCTTAATCTGGGATTAATCTCATATTAATTGTTTTTTGTACATGATCCCTCTCATATCAAATGATTAATGTATTCAACAGCTATGACCACATTAAAAGAAATCTCAAAACCTGTATAAGATGTTAGTTAGTTCAGTTGTACAGCCCAACAAGTCCACTGTTTTAAACTAGCTTACTAGAAAGTTAAGTGTTTTTTACGCAGTCAGTTACAGTGTCAGACGTCTACAGTGTGGTGTGCCGCAAGGTAACTAGTTGGGCCCACTCAAGTTTTCCGTTTTTTCAAAATCAAACACATTTTGAGACAATATGGTATTTATTGTATCAAGATGGTAATGGGCTACATTGTTTATGTTGCAGTCAGTGGTAGTCCTAGACTCTGGGGGGTACATTTATCGGGTCTGCCTCTCCTGACAGTGCTCCCCTGGCTGCAGTGATTTGGATGTTGTAAGGAAATCAATGGTCTGAAAGATCCAAATGTAGTTTGCTGATGCAAAATACCACCAACTGAAAAGAAGCTTGAATAAGATAATTTAGTGAAACAATTTAACAGTTGTTGGTGAGTTTGCAAAGCAGTGGCATTTAACAAAATACCTGTCTGCCTATGTAGTACAATTGGATCTTGCTGAGGAAATTATTAAATGCCAGTCCAGAACAATGGCACAGAAGTAAGCAATTCAACTGAATATTGTTTTAATTGTTGCTCAAGAGACGAAGAACTCATGATTGCCAGACAGTGTGTAACCCATCTTCACTCCACTTTGTAAGTGTGCCCTCAAATTATATCAGTTGCTGTGAAAAAAAGTAAAATAAAATAAAAGCCTGTATTTTTCTCTGTCTGAAACTATTAAAATTACAACTAGTTTTGTTTTTTCAATTTATCACAGACAGGAAAGAGGGTTTTTTTTTTTTCAAATGTAACACTTCACTATGAAAAGCACTTGTCCCTTTTCCCCTCTGCAATATAACATGACCTTTCTTCATTTTTCATGGCAGATACACTGGCTATCAGCGCACTGCTGTCTTGAATAGATTGTTACATTTAGGCTCTTATTTTCACATGATGGGAAGTGCAGTCGACCGTGCAAGGTGCACAGGGCGTGGTGAATGTGAATGTGTGGTATTTTCATGGCCAGAGGCGCGGGGTACACCTGCAGCGCAGTTGGAAGCTAGATGGGATTAGGAGGAATACATTAGCTGGCATCTATCCTGGCTAATCAAATCATCCACCTCCTTTCATTCCCTTTAAAGCAGGGCACTTGTTTTATTATGGAGGAGACACTCCAGACCTGCTTATCCCAAGGGGAGAAGTCAGAGCTGGCATTTAGTCATATTGGGCTGTGTTAACATGTGTGCAATAATTCTAATTGTGTAAGACATTTGCATGATTGCGTAAACTGATAACTCCCCATAATAATCCTGTTTACATGACTCTTTGATTTTATTTCCTTCCCTTCAAGTATCAGATTTGACTGTTAAAGCCATGATTCCAAATGTAGTTCATCAAAGCCATAGCTTGTCACTATTGCAATTTAAATGCAAATGCTAGACACTAGTTTTGTGAAAACCTGTTTGAAAGAAGGATATGAAGCATGTGTATTTTCTTAGCATGAATCACCTCCTGTACGCAGCTGGTGACATGCTTCACTTTGTATTTCATAGCTGAAACAACACAGAGAGAAGGAATGAGACTTTCCATAGTTCACTTCATTGTGTTGCGTGTGTGTGTGTGTGTGTGTGTGTGTCATCTTCCAAGGTAACCCCTCCCAGCCCACTTCCCTCCACTATATGAGCCCCTACCAGATGAATGCATATGCCATGGCCCTGAAAGCAGTGGGTGAGATTATCCAGGACTACGACAGTGACAAGCTCTTTCCTGCCTATGGTTTCGGAGCTAAGCTGCCCCCTGATGGCAAAATCTCCCACGGCTTCCCGCTGGTAAGACACACATGTGAACGCACGCACGAAACATATGAATTCACACATACAAGGCACACACAGTCCACCCGTGGCAGGGTGTGGTTTGGACCAGGAGTCGTCGCTGCGACAACAGCTGGTCTTGCAAGTTGAGAAGCTGGCTCATCTGCCTGCCAGTGGGAATCTCCCAGCATCTCCTCCACTTCCTCCTTGCATCCTCCTGAGGGATCAGGACAGTTAGAAACCTCTGGTAGCTAAGTTGAAGTGAGGCCAACTCTGACTTTGAGTCACTAGTATGGCCTCTGCTGCTTTGATATTGACCTTTAGTTGTAAAACTCTCATAATTCCCTGTAATTTATGAAAGGGCAATACTAAATCACACAAATGTCTTTTTAAAAACTCATTTAAACTTTATTACTTTAATATTATAGCTTCAATGAGTCTCTGTCAGTACCCTCTAGACTTCACATTGCTTTTTACACCAACTACATGAAAAACCTTGAACTTTCATGAACTTTCTGTACTTGTGTAAACTTGCGTGAGAAACAGACTAACATTGCCCTCCGCAAGCTTACAGAGACAAACCCATAGAACACATGGAACCCATAGATAGAAAGTCAAAGATTCAAATCATCTATCTGAGACACATCAGTGAATTGCACAATGTCTTTAAATTGAGCAGCATTCTTCATTTATTTTTTTTGTCAGTCAGTGTGCATTGTACTTCAGGGGACGTTTTGGTTCCCAGATGTAGTTGCAGAGTGGGCGCTCCTTGCTTTCAAGCAGCTGAGTGAGGTCTGCAACTGTCTGAGTCAGACAGAGGCAGCTGCCTGTAGGAAGAGAGGCTTTGCCAGGTCAGGCTCCGAGATAAAGTAATCTACTGGCCTCTGCTTAGAAGTAGTGAATTTACAGCTCACAGCAACTAAATATGATATAGCATCTGGCTTTTGTTTAATATCTTCCGTCGTCATAAAATGTTGCTGCTATAAACTATATAAAATAATTGCAAAGCTACCATGACGTCACCCAGCTGATTTGTGTACTGCCGATTTTGAAGCCCTGAGTTCAGCATTTCTACTGTTGCCATCTTTGTTTTATGGAGCCAGAAGTGACCATATTTGGACCAGAAGGTAGAGCTGTGGAGGAGGTGGATTTGACTCATAGACTGTAGCTGTGCCTTGCAGACAGCCTGTCAATCAAGTCACCTCACCCATAATTATGCGTAACTTTTTAGTAAAATGTAAACAATAAAGTTATATAAAAATAACCCCCCTAAAGTTGACATGAATGTTGACATTAGCTATAGTCACCAAAAATGTTTTTTGTACCTGGTTGTAAACATGTTTATTTCTGCTGTAACGATGGGTATTTTAACATGGAAGTCTCTGGGGATTGATTCACTTTTGGCGCCAGTCTCAAGTGGCCATTAGAGGAACTGCAGTTTTTGGCACTTCCACGTTGGCTTCATTTCTCAGCCTTGGAGGTTGCCGCTTGGTTGTTCCACATTTCCAAGCTGTTGTTAGCATAGTTAGCATTAGCTTGGAGGGCTTTCTTGTTTTTTTTTACTATATTACATGAATGTCACCCTGAACATCTCACCAAACCCTGTTACGGAAAAAAATTAAACAAATAGTCAAATATTTGTACTGAACAGCCAAATCCAGTTCAACTGACATACTTTTGATATTGTTCCTACTGTGGGTCTGAGAAGAGACACATTTAATTAGGAGTAGCCTCTTGAGTCTCCTCTTCTCTTTTCTGGTGTTGACTACCCGTTGTATCACACCGACACTATTTCCCTGTACTCAGTGTTAAGGATAATGGTGCATTAATTGCAGATAGACTGCATATCATCATGGCTAATAGCCGCATATTTAAGATGTGTATTTATCTTTAATTGTAAGAACTATGTTGAATATGTAAACAGTTACGTGATCTGAATGGATTGATGTTCCTTGTTTATTGCACTGCCCTGTTAATTATACTAATGGATGTGTGGATGTACACTGTGTTCTTCATTATTGTGCTGTATGCTGTCTGTTGCAGAGTGGTGATGCTGAGAATCCAAACTGTGTTGGCATAGAGGGGGTTCTGGAGGCCTATTTTCAAAGCCTGAGGACAGTGCAGCTTTATGGACCCACCAACTTTGCACCTGTTATCAACAAAGTGGCAAAGTAAGTTTAAAAGTGTGCGTATTTGTTAGTCCTGAGGTACAACCATACCTTTTAGACTAAGGGTATAATTACAACATTCTATTTTCTGTCAAGCAGACCTGAGAGATTTTTATTTATTTTTGTATTTATAGGCCTTGATCAAAGCTTATTAGTGACATGACTCAGAGAAATCTTTTCCACCAGATTAGAGATTTTGTTTTATTTATAAATGGTAACAGTGGGGGGCAAGACAACATGTGTAGGATTAAGGATGTTACAGCATCCCGTCAACTAATAGTCATTTTTTATGCCTCTAAGTGTGGCATCAGAAAAAAACAATATTTCATGGAAAAGGGGCTTGATTTAGGATTTGTGTTATTTGTATATTTAATTTCACATTTAAAAACCCAAAGCTAATTTTGTGTGTCAGACAAACTGTCAAAATACATCTGCCAACTAATGACTGCTTGCTGCTGACATTTCCCTTGTGTGGTTAGAAATTCTGGCTTCAAGGGAATTTTCTGTGAGACTAGTTGAAAAAAAAATAGTTGAAAGTGTGGGGCTCTATATAGTTTTTGTAAAGCTTTGTTCCTTAAATTTGTTGTCAGTATTTCTGAATATAAATTGTGAAAAAATACTTTTTACAACCTTAAATTGTTCTGAAGTGATGTGCTAAGTGATTATCACCACAGATTTTTGAAGTTTTATGGACACCTATAACATGTTTCTTGCATTTTAGGTTTGTGGAAGTGTTAGTATAAAAAAAAAAAGTTGAATTGACAAAATGACATATCAGACATAAATCGCATCATTTATATCATAGTTTACAATACTCACATATATCATAATAAAATGGGATCGACGCATCAATTGCTCCAACCCATACGAGCACACAGGTTGTTTGTTTCTACCTTCTAATAAGGCCCACAGGAGCGTTTCCTGAATATGCACCCGTAACAGCAGGAGATCAACACATCCTCAAACCTAAATGACAGAATAGGTTGAATATGAATGAACTTTAGCAGTTACAGTTCTAACATGTAACGTATTAGGCTTCGGCAACAAAACTACTTCCTTAGGTTTAGAAAAAAGATCATGGTTTGGGTAAAAATAAATAAGCCGACACTTATGAAGTAACTTAATTTATGTAGGAAGGTTTAATGACATGTCACATGAAGTTATTTAGCTGCTTATAATAACTCTATACTGACTTTTGGGTTCACGAGAGACACAAACCGCTGTCTCCTGGGTCAAAGTCCTATGTTTTTTGATCCATCCATCCACTCCGACCTCCTCTGTTCATGAATTTTGTCCCTCTTTATACTACGTCACCTGACATCCTCGTCAACCCATATAATAATATACTAGCAGCTACCACCTAACAATAAATGTAAATATCTGTGTAATACGCTGCTTGTACAAACAACCTGTGTGGTTGTATTTTGGAGGAAGACTACCTCGTTCTAAGAGGTATAAAAAGAGAGCTTGACTAAATAAACAGTTATGTGTTTCATAAAATTTGTAAATCATTTCAGGCCATAGTACAAAAGTTTTTGATCTTTATGACCTGGGCTGATAGCAGTTTGAAAAATGAGAACAAGTTTTACAATGGTAGACAGGGGGGTTGCAAAGAATGGCCATTAAGGAAAAAGTAAATATAACTCTTCCTCTGTGTTTTTAGTGAGGTCCATGGTTAACACATAAATTACAGTGATGAGTTCATAATGATCATGAACGCATCACTGTAATTTAAAGACTTGAGTCATGTCTATGCTTTAACATAAAGCATAGACATGACTCAAGACTACAGTGTTAAGTCTACGCAGGGGTAAGTGCAATCCATACATCTATGAGGTGTCACCATGATCCAGATCAGATAAAAATGTGGACTAAAGAAGATTTTTTTAGTTGCAAAGGAAAAGCATTTCTTAAAAATGAATGAAATATCTAATTAGGTAAGGTTTTCAAAGTAAGTATGGAAAGTTAATTTGTCATTCAGCCCTATTCCAAGATATCTGTATGAAGAGACCTTTGCTACCTTCATTTCTAGCTGTGGAAGAGTAATGTTTTATACCGTTTGTACAAAATTCGCATGGTTTCTGAAGAACATTGTATGTTAGGTTACTTTGGCATTCTGAAAGTCAACAGTTTAGACATGGGGCAACTGTATAAATTATGGCATCATCTGCATACATTTGAATCTTTACTGTTCCTTCCTTTATTGTTTATGAAAATGGAAAGAGAGCAGGTGTTGTTTTAGAGCACTGTGGTACAGCTTCTGTGATCTTTAGTACTTAGAGTTTACAATAATCAACATTAACACAGTGGTCTTTCTGCTGCTGTTATAGTACTGTGTCCTGACCTAAAACCAGATTGTGCATCATTGCGAATATAATTTTTTCTATCAGAAACCTTTTCGATGATCTCTTTTATTTTTGCACCTTAAAGCTAAGACCTTTGGTAAATGACATTTTAAAAGATTAATATAGGGTTAATAAAAAAGAGATTTGCTGCCCCAGGTAATTCCATGTTTGTGTTGTTGAAAAACATGGATTAACCTGGTTGCTAGACCAGAACCGTGTTGGACATTTTAGCCTACGTGTCACTGCACTGAATTATCAGTTCTGTTTTTTTCATCCCACCACAGACACCACTGTGTCAAGCTGCAAGAGGCATTGAGGTGGCATAAATCGCCCACTGAAAAAAAAGAAAAAAAAACAGGCACAGGAAGACATAGGTGCTATGACACACACAGGCCCATCGTAACATAAGGGTTTAAATCCCATGCATATACACATATACTGCACATACACACACACAGAGAAACATAGACTCACTGATCAATGACGTGTTCAGCCAGTTGGAACGGCTAAGTCGTTGGTATTGGATTCTATCTAGTTGCAATATACACAAACAGCAGGTGAAGGACACACATACAGACACACACACACTTACGTGTTGAGACACTGCCAAATATCAGCTCTGGCTTTATATGTTGCCAGATGAGTTTGGAGATGTGGATATATTCATTTGTTTTTCTCATCGAACCTTGTGTTTGAAAGGGAATGAAGAGCAGTGGGAAAACAAGAAGCAGGGTCACGCGGTTTTCTTCATGCTGTGTTTTTTTTTGGTGCTTGTTATTTTTGAAGGGTCTTTCTGTTGCTGAAGGTTGTGATTTTAGGTAGTAAACAACTCTGTGGTCTGCTATGGAAACAGCATCCTAGAACAAAGGGGTTGCTATGGTGGGTGGAAGGAGATCAAATCCATTTTAACTGATTTGTTTATATTACATTTAATCCCAGAGATACCAAAGTTGAATATGCACTTTTGGGCATTTATAATGGCTTTCACGTTTTATTTATATTCTACATTATGTAGTGATTCAATATTAATGTTGGGAAACATGAATATTTGAAATTCTTACATGTTTATCTGCCTATATATAAAGAAACATGTGAAGCTATTGTTTCACATGTAAAAAAAAAAATGTAATCACATTTGCACTGCATTTACATGTGAATTGCAGAATAGCTCATTAATCCTAGTGTTGCGGGACAACATTATAAGCATTATTAGAACAGTTAAACTACTTCAGGTAACTATTTTGGCCGGGGTTGCTGGACTTTAAACGCTACGTATGCAAAAATAGCAGGACAGAGCAGCTGATATTACTCTAAACTCTGATATCCTGTAGTGCAAATACTGCAGTGCTAGTACGGTATGGTGAGATGCTGGCTCTGATGTGCTCCTTGGCATTGGAAGTAACAAGTCACTATTGTTGGTAGCAAGCTGGTGGCATTTAAAGCTTATGTTACAGCAGATAAGAACAATTTTTAATCCACTCCATTTTGCTCTTACGTTTTTGGTTTCCCAAAGGAAAAAAAGAGGGTAAAAAACGCTAAACTCTTTATATATCAATTGTCATACTTACTTGAGCCCTTATGCACACTGCATCAGCATGTGAGGAAAGCTTGGCAGGGGCCCTTTAGGGAGTTCCTCCAGTGGAGAAAACGTGATGCAGGGCCCTTACAGTGGAGAAAATGTGATGCAGGGTCCTCTCGGGAGTTCTTCCGGCAGAGATAATGTGATGTAGGCCTCTCTTGGGAGTTCTTCCAGTGGAGAAACCGTGATGTCGGGCCCTCTGGCAAGTTCTTATAGTGGAGAAAATGTGATGCAGGGCCCTCTAGAGAGTTCTTCCAGTGGAGAAAACATGACACAGGACCCTGTTTAGTGCTCTACCAGTGGAGAAAACATGACAGTACTTTTTTGGTTGCCCTGAAGTAAATGAAGTAAACACAACACAGTGCCAGCTAAGCTGCACTACATGCTAGATAACTGCCCTACATACGCCACCACATGTTGTGAGGTAAGTTGCATGCATGACGTTGTGGTCAGTCTTCAGTTATTGTTTCACAATGTTATTGGCTGATTTTCCAAAGTCATTTGTAATCCAGCATCTAGAGACCATGCAAGTGACCAAATATGGCAAACATATTGTCATGAAGCTCAAAGAGTCAGACAAATAAGTTACTGTATACATTTGATTCAACCCTGTGCTGTAATCCTGAGCCATCACAGACTATGGAATAATGTGAGAGACCAACAGGCAGGTGTGCTTCGTGTTTTCATTAGTAGTTTGTTATTCAGGTGCACGGGCAGAATTTTAGCTCTAACCCTGCTACATTTGTGTGTGTGTGTGTGTGTGTGTGTGTGTGTGTGTGTACGTGTGTACGTGTGTGTTTCTGTGTCTGTGCATGTGTCTGTATGTGCACGTTCCCCAGCTGTGCAGCAGAGATTACAGATGGCTCTCAGTACTTTGTCCTACTGATGATCACAGATGGAGTGATATCTGACATGGTCCAGACCAAAGAGGCTGTGGTCAATGTGAGTCAACACACACACACACACACACACACACACACACACATATGTATGCGAGACTGATGGATAGCAGTGTTGTTCCCTCACTTACTCTCCTGTTACTGATGTTCATCTCAGCCTCATGTTTTCCTTTGTGTGGGCGGCCCAAAGCTTCATTATATTTCTCAAGAATAATGCTTTCTATGATGTTTGGATAAAACAACTTGATGTGTCGCAGCATTCTGTGATAAGCAAATAAGTACAAATACCAAGCAAAAATTCTCTCTTTAAGATTCAAGTTAAGGGAAGGAAAATTAATTTTTGCTCTAATTGTGACTGATCTTACAATTGTGGAGAGGTCAGCAGTTGTTTCAACAACCTGTCAAATTCATTTCTGAGAGGTGTCTTATCCAGTTAAGTCAGTTCTGAGTGATTTCTCTTGTGACAGACAGTGTTGAATATTAAATGCAAGTTATTTTTTTTATTTTCTCCCTCCTAATTATCTTACATGTGTAAAAGTGCAAAACAGGTGAAGTCCTAGATATTTGCTTTAAATCCTCCAGGTGCACAACTTTTGAGTTTGCATCGAGGAGAGGTGAGGTTTGGGAAATAAAGGTAATTGCTGTGAGTGGAGGATACTGTGTCAGGTTAATAGACTTACCTTTCAGGTTAAAATAATGAATAACAAGTTTAAGTTAACACCTAATTTATTTTTTGGAAGAGAATGCTCCCTACAACAAAATAATTGACTTTTAATGAAAGCCTTATAGAAGCCTTAATGCACCATTAGGAGTTGAATGAATCAACTGACCTAAATGTTATTTGTCTTTCCTTTTGTCTCCTTTTACAGGCAGCATCACTCCCCCTGTCCATAATCATTGTAGGTGTTGGACCTGCTGAGTTTGATGGTGAGTGTTCCATTTTAGTAACAGATCATTTTTCATGTCAACATGAGTAAACATGACAGAGGAGAGGTCAAGAAGTCACTCAATCTACAGAGGACCAAATGTTTAGTCAGTGTCACAGTGATGCAGCAAAAAATCGATGTCTGCATTCATAAATATGCCATCATTGGTGTACTATTACCTCCACCAATAATCTGACTTATTCTCGTAAAAGGAGAATTTCAGATTTGTTTGTACATTGTGCATCTTGAGAAGACATCCGCCAGCAAGGGACATACAGCCCCGGCTTCGGCATTTTCGTTGAGAGCCAGGCCAGCGCTGTGTGACTGAGAAGCCGAAGGAGAGGAGTAAGAGGCTCTTTGCTACGACCCTGGCAAATTTGAAACAAAGTCCCACTCTTTGAGCATAACGCAGGATCATGCATATGCAGCATCACGGGAGATGGAATCCTCGTTGCCAAGAAAGCGCAAAAGGGAATCAAAAAGGCAACGTGACCGGCGAATTCAAAAAACGAGGGTCAACATCGGGGTAGCCTTTCCCAGGTGGAGAGAGCTGCTGAAGGAGGGAGGTAATGCAATCACAGCTAACAGGGGCTAACAGCTGTTAGCGACCTGCACTGCTAATAGCGCTAACAGCTAACAGCGGTGCTGGCCAATAACAGCTGTTAGTCGCTGTTAGCCACTGTTAACACTGTTAGCTGTAATTGCATTACCTTTCTCCTTCAGCAGCTCTCTCCACCTGGGAAAGGCTACCCCGATGCTGACCACTAACAGTTGTTAATGGCGCAGGGATGTGAGGAGAGGGATGAGGTGTGTGAGGTTGAGCCACTTGTCAGTTGTCAAAAGACAAGATGTGATTGGTTTGTTTCGATTTACACCCACCCCAACAATCATACATTGTAAACACAGCCAGCATGGTGAGGAGGGGGTTTGTCAACTTGCGTCACGTGTGTCTGTGTAGGAGCCTGAATGAATACTCCATGTAGTATCGGATGACATGGTTTCATCAGTGTTATCATAGCTTTTTGGTACACAGCGGCTACAGTTGTTGCAATACGCATTTGAAACAGTGAGGCGCAAGAGTGCGCCATCTGTTTGAATACAATATATGATTTCAACGTTAAATGGGAGAAATTCCTACACACTGTGGCTTTAAATAAAAATGTGACTATTTAATCAGATTTCTTCACATATCAAATGTTAATTTACATTCTTATAAAAACACTGAACACTTACAGCTTCATCTATAGTGTTTACATTGTAAAATTAAGAAAGGAAGGACTTGTACAATATCTACAATACACTGTGGACATCAGGCGAAGAAGCATTTATTACTCAGCTGATACCCAAAGTCCAAAGGCAAACTACAGGCCATTAAAGTGTTCGATTTTAATGGTACATATCCAGAAACATTCTAGTCAAAATCACCTGTTTTTTTAACACCAATGCATTTTAAATTTTACCATGTCTATATCTATATTAATGGTTTCTAATCAAACCTGTTTTTTCAGGGTTCAAGTTTTTTTCACGTTTTATGGATGTAATATTTATCTTTATGGCCAAAAGCAAAGATATATTACATTATTTGTGTTGCATGTTATCAACGGCCTGATTTTGTATTCTTTTTCAGTGGGAAAATCCATGAAATGTTCAGTATGCACCATGTGTTTGCATGATGTGGAGGATTTACATTAAAAACTCACTTTAATAAAGGAAGATATTCCTTCTCGGTAGATCCAGGGCTTAACGTTAGCCACCGCCCAGATTCTTTTCAGCCCCTTTGGCGCGAGCATATATGCACAAGGAATACACAGTATGTAGATTGATGCACATAATGCATTGCAAAATTCACAAGCACTTGTTAGCAGCATGCCCTGAGGTTAGCTTTTAAGCAGCCTTGAGATGCAAAAGCAGAATGCAATAAAATGTTACTGAAGCAGCTGGCATTTACATTGGCATATAGCCAAGGAGGAACAAATTGAAACACTCCTCCTAATGTACAAGTTTTGATTTTTATTATTCTTTATTTTGAGTTTTTAACTTCAAAGCATGAGAGATGCTTTTCAGTTGTATAGCCTGATGTGATCTGCTGCCTTTTGGGAAGTGTTTGTGTTTGAAATTTTTCTTGTTTTATAATGCGAATAGTTTACCAAAGTTGCCTTTGATCCAAGCAAGAGGACTTTGTCTGTCTTTGACATTTGCACAACGGTGTTTTCAAAATAAATGAAAGGAAACATGTCCTTATGTATTTTATATATATTTAAATAGCTTTACACACAAACTTATTAGAACTGAATATTCGATGACTGTAGTGTTAGAATTATAAGGAGTCTTGATTTTGGTGTGTAAAGTAGTCATTTACATTTAAAAGGGCTGAAATTTTGTTCTTTGAGTAAACTGCAGCATATTGTCAACTTTAATCAAATAACACTTCATAATTGATATTAGGTAATTGACTGTTAGCTCAGCTCCGCCCCTGTCAGTTAATAGTTGTAGTACTTAGTAGTTGTATTTGGTAGTTGATGACTGAGTCACCTACCTGCCTGTCAAACAGCATCAAACCATGAACCTTTTCAAGTGTAGACTGAGTCCCATAGGGATTAGCTGTGAAGTCCAGCAGTCGGTGGCCGGTGGCTGCTTGCTCCACTGCCGAAACATCCTGGTGCCAACTGTTTACTGGAGTTTACCAACCTGTCACTTATTCAGCATTTGAAGATAATTGCAAACACAGCTGTTCTTGGCTTTTATTGTCCGATATTCCACCATGAACATTTTCGTCCTGTCTCGTCAGCGAAAATGAAGCATAGATTACGTCTCAGTTTTTATTATTGTTGGCTAAGTTAGTTAAATTAGTTAAATTAGCACATTTTAAACAACTTTTTCCCCCATATATATTCAAAATCTAAAACAAATGTTAAATACCAAGGGTTATGATAAAATAGCCAACTATTAGACTGTTGTTCCACTCCTTGTCAATAGGGGGAGCTGCAGCACCCTCAGCACCCACTTCTCCATGGCCATGCTTAACCCATCAAGATAGAAGAAGATAGAAGGTAGAAGAAGACACTGGTGTTTAGGGAGGGGTTTAGGCAATAATTCAGTTGAAGGTTTCCTCTTCCTTACAAAAATGCTGAATGTTGGTTCTCACATAGTTAATATAGGGACTGTTACTGTTTGTGGACTTCTGTTTTGAAGCCTCGAGTCTGGCATTATGGCTGTCACCATCTTGGTTTTTTGCAGCCACAAGTGACTATGGGTGTTTCTCAAAGTCTGTTTGAGGATCCTTCCTTGACTTTGAGAAACACCCTCTGTTTGGGCTGGACCTGTCACTCAAAGCAGCCCGCCCTTAACTATGTGCAACTTTAAGCCTTAATAAAATGTAAACAGCTAAATTATGTTAAAAATAACTCTCAGCACAGTGGTTATGAATTTTAAAATGAGCTATAGAGACCAAAACAATTTTATGTTTCAGGCTGTAAACATGTTTATTTCTGCTGTAAAGTTGGGCATTTTACTATGGGGGTCCATGGGCATTGACTGGCTTCTGGAGCCAGTCTCAAGTGGCCTCAAGTGAACTGCAGTTTTTGGCACCTCCATGCTGGCTTCATTTCTCAGCCCCGGAGGCTACCGCTTGGGACCTTAACAAGATATTGCACTATAGCGCCACTAGTGGTCAAATTCTACGCTGTCTGCCTTTGAGTAAGGCATTTAGGTGAGCGTTATTTCACAACAGGAAGCAAAGGCCTTGTGCACTGAACACATTTGAAACGTTAACTTAATTAATCCAACATCCTTGACACTGTAAAGACACAAATATGTGATGTGTTTTTTGAAACTCTGACCTTGGCTTTTACCTGACTTGATGGAACTCTTTCGAGCAAACAGGAAGCCACTACAGCAGCTGTGTCATAATTGGTTCTTCATATAAACCAGTATGCTGCTCCACCTCCTGGGGAAGCTGGGCCAAAAGTCAATGGAGTCAAGTGTGCAGTCATTTAACAGTCCACAGATCAATGACTTTAAAGTGGGGACTGTGTGTGTGTATGTGTGCAGTCTGTTGGTGCTCAGCAGGGTGTAACGACTTAACGCTTCATCATTGAGTTGGATGGCCCATCATTTTCTACTTGTTTAAGCCGCTGAATGGTGGTTTTGATAGGGAAAGCGCTCAGGCATGTTTGGGGGTCACAAGGTCAAACTGGCTCAATAGCACCTCAGAGTGTGTGCTCAGTGTGTGTGTGTGTGTGTGTGTGTGTGTGTCTACACTTTACTGCCAGGCCTAATTGCCTCTGTTATTTGCTCTTTTAGTCTCTGTGTACTCCATTTCTGAACATGGTTATTTTTTAATCTCTAGTTTGTCACTGTCAGTACTAGGCTGTCATTTCTGGTGTTTATCCTCTAATGCATTCTGGTTCCATGTGTGTCTGTGTGCTGATTTGACCTCACGTTGTGCTCAGCCACCTTTTCAGTGGCAGCACCACACATCCAGGCTGTTTTGTACCTTTGCCAGAGCGACTCCAGATGCAGGATACACACTGTTGTGCAGGTTCTGTTTTTGAAGACCTCTCATCTCCACCAGAGCACAATTTTAGAGCAAGCACCTCTATGTCTGGCCACAGTTGCAATGGCTCTGTGAAAGTACTCCTGCAGCTACACCTTTAAGCTATTGACGTCTCTCCATGTGTGGCTAAAGTTATTTTCTTTTTCTGACGTGCAGTGTAATTGCACATCATTTTTGCTTAAGAAATAGCACCTTAGGTGCACAAAGTGTTCTAACCATTCTCCTCTGAATACCTGTTCCTACTCCCCATGCTGTGTTCCACTTGGGCAATTACGTTATGAAAATACAAAAGAGCATCCTGTTCCCTTTTTAATTCTCCCTGGGTGGCTCCAGTATTGAGTCATTCTCTCTCTGTCGTTTTCTCTCCTTTTAGCTATGGAGGAGCTGGATGGAGATGAGGTGAGAGTGTCCTCCAGAGGACGTCTTGCTGAGAGAGACATTGTACAGGTACTCATCATAATTCTGGTTAATGTCGCAGGTTGAACTTGAGCATGTTTCTGTCAACAGCAGCTGCATGGGGGAATTTTCCCTGAAGGGGGATGGCTTACATTCATAACACACACTCAAACACACACACACTCAAACACACACTGGGAACTGCCTCATAAAATATACAATACCCATCTACGGTGGGTCACGGAACAAGCTCAGTGTCTTGATCAAGGGTTCAATACTGTGACTCTGACTTTACCCTACACACAACTTAAAATCTATCCATTAATATAAAATCAAAGGTTCAGTTTTAACCCATTCAATCCCACTGTCTTCTAAGATATGTTCCTAAATACTTTATGAATGAGGCAGCATCAGAACAGAATATATATTTGTGTCTGTGGTGTAGGATTTAGTGTCATCTAGTGGTGAGGTTGCAGATTGCAACCAACTGAACTTTCTCCCGTGTGCCAAGTGTGTAGGAGAACTATGGTTGCCGAACCGAAAATGCTATTGGCCCTATTTAGAGCCAGTGTTTGGTTTGTCCATTCTGAGCTACTGTAGAACAACATGTCAGACTCCATGGCAGAAACCTGCTTGGTATGTACTGTAGAAGTAAACGGCTCATTTTAAGGTAATAAAAACTCAATGATGTTTATGTACATGTGATAAAACACCAATGTTAACAAAGTAATGAATATTATATTTATTTTCTGCTGGTATATCCCCCTAAATTATACACACTGGACCTTTAATTCAATGTAAATGTTCGTAGAAAAGGCTGTTACAACTGACCAGAGCTGACTGAAAGTGTTACAGTGTGTGTTGGTTGGTCCGCTTGTTTGTCATTACTGGAGTGTGGTCCTCCACTACGATAAGTCTCTGGGTGATGGCATAGAATTGTAGTAAATAAGATTTGCAGTTCTGATGTGAATTTTTTTTCTCCCACACCTACAGTGGCCTCCAGTGCAAAGTCACATATTTCTCTTACTTCCCAAGAAATTTAAGCTACATCCACAGTAATACATTTTTGTTTTAGATGCATAACTATTGCTAGGTGTACGCCTAGCATACGCACTACTCCGCTGTTTTGGAAGCCCTTAAACAGAGACCTTTTGAAATTGCTGCTGATCCTGTTTTAGTTTGGAAACTCAAGGGTCATTTTTTAGTCTGGATGGAAACAGAGACTTTTCAACAAAATGACACGAGCACAGATGTTCACTTCGCAGTGGGTCTTATTAGTCATATGAAAATGTCATTCTGCCCAGTTTACTGTGAACCGCCATGTTGCTGTGACATTACGTATGTCGGCAAACTTGAGCGAGATGGATTTTACCCCGGACTTCCAACTTGAGTGACTGTTCCATTGCACTTTTTCAAGTTGCAGGTCGTTTTTCCTGAGTTCTGAGTACATTGGATTTCAGCTTTATTGTTGAAATTGTGCTAAAATTCTCGTGCATTGCGATCGTTTTCATTTTATAACGCTGTTTAAAATAAGAATGCATTGGTGTGGATGTGGCCTTAGTGTTGTCATGCCACCTCCAAAATTGCTTTTGAGAGAGAGTGAATATTTTTAGTATGCAAGAGGATATGAACATTTGTCATTTTCAGCATTTGAATGAGCAACCAATGAACAATGTAACAAGAACACCACCATGTAATCTCCGAAGAGTGACCCACAAGCCATGGTGCCAAGATAAAAGCCAGGGAACAAAAGAGGAATAACTGGCTTATCTTATCTTGTGGCACCATGGCACTGTGGATAAATGGTCCTGTAATTTTGCCTCTTGGCTCAAAGAGGATGTGAACCTGACTCAAAGTCAATCTAAATGAATGGAGAGAAATCATTTATAGGACAGGGAAATAGATTTATATACCAATAGAGGGCCGGTATTGTACTTCTTAATACGATGCACAACATGGGCCACATTTTATTCTTTGAAATAATTTATTAATACTAGCTCCTTCCAAAATTATACCTACAAAAATGCTTTGTATCTGAATCATTTGCATTGCAAATTAAAACACCCTGCATGTTCTAATTGTAAAAAGGTCAACACTTTTACCAGCTATGTGACAATAGAGTACAAAACTGATAACATGCAGCTTTAGTAATGTCGTCTACCTTCTTGCCTGTATTAAATGTGGCATCTAATATGTAGGAAAAACAAGGAGACAACTTATAATCAGAATCCATGAACATCCAAGTGCTGTCTGCCATGCTGATCCTAAGTCAGCTGTTGCAAGACTCTACACATTACTACACAGGATTTGGCATTCTGTAGCATTGACATAATGATTCCTGATGGTCATGGTGGAAATGTGGATCAAAGCTTACTCCAGTGTGAATTCAGATATATCTCTTCTACTTCCTCTTTCTACCAGTATGTGTGTGGGAATGTGTCAGTGCTAGAGTTATATTGGTACATTTGTAATGACTTGACCTCCTGGCAATTGGCTTCATGTGAGCTCAATCAAGCCCTGATGACTGACTGGGTGCACCTGTAGAGTAACCCACATATAGGGTGACTCATCATGCTTGTCTCATTTTGCACCGATCAAAGTCGACAACTGACTGAAATGTTTGTACTTTTGCACAGTTTTTCACTGTCTGTACTGCCTCAGTATGTAAATCAAAGCATTTAAAAATCCAGACTCTTGAATCTCTTGAACACCCCTTGCTGCACTATACTTTTTCCTGGTCACCGCAGCAAAAAAGACTAGAGCACTCTTGTAAGGCGCATCTCAACCCTTGTGAAACATTGTATCTAACTGATTGCATACTGTAGGTGAGAAACCTCCTGTTGTGCCTCTTTGATGACTCCATCTTCACTTCAAATTGAACCCAGCACATTTACAGCTGCTGTTATGTCATTACTAAATTGATGACACTACTCAAATCTCTTCACCACACGCTGATAGTAATTATTCCTAAAATTAAAGTTATTAAGGCTAAAAAAAGTGCTTTCATTGCCTGGAAAAAAAGGGTTTACTGGTCACTACAAAACTGGGAAGACATTTCCTCACTGAGTCTGCCCTCAAAGACACTTCATCCATCATTACTTTTAAAGTCAACAAGAGAGAGCAGCTCTTTTTTTTTAATTGTTTAGCAATGAGTTTTATAAGAGGGAGCAGTAACCCCATCAGGGACTGATAAAACTAGATCTGGCAACAGTAAATAGTAATTTCAGAAAGCCCGATATGAGAACACAAATAGAAAGAAAACACAATGGCCTCTGATAACCATGTACTTCAGAATTTTTTGGGGAGTAGCGGAGAAGACTGGCCAGTCAGCTGGCAGAGCATACGGTGCAATGATAAATGAGCGCTTACAGTGATAAATGTACAGTGTAGTGCCTAGATGTTGAAAGGAGGCGTGTGAGTGTATTATATAAGATAGCAAAAATGTAATTCCAGTAAAGTGGCAGTGGCTATTTACTGGATGAGAGAGAGGAAGAACGCACACCAAGTGTAGGCTTGAGTGGTGTGAACATTATTCAATTATGCAATGCCTTGGGGTGTTTATCAGTACTCAGTACCTTTTAAGGCACTAAATGAAATAACCCAGGACAAAGTAGTATCAAAAAAGTCTCCAGTCAAACGATATCTGCATTCGATCCTTTGTGCACCGGGGGTCTGGTGAGGTCAAGAAGTGTGTCTGAAGGAGTTAGAGGATCAGTGTGCTGAGATGCCACGAAAACGTTGAAAATTATGGCTACCCTAAAATTCTAATTAAAAATGTATCCCCTTGAAATGCAGAGTTCCTTTTACTAACTAGGTGTGGCTACACGTTTTTGAAAAGAAATACTGGTCTCAATTAGACGTCCAAGTTTGGTTGCCACTGCCGAGTTTGTTGTCAAGTTCTTGGGATTTAAAACATCTTAAAGCTCACAAAATCATTGGCTACCTGCTTGAGTTAACGTTAGTTAGCTGCTTAGATCACACATACAAATATAGAGGTTTAAACTGTTGTCAGTATGGAGATACTACACACATCGTTAGCTTGAACTGAAACCATGAGCACTAAAGAATACAGGAATAAATACAGATTTACCAGCATGGATAACAAGAAAAACAACAAAGGTGGTGACAGCTTACCTCTGAGGCAGTAATATGTGAATGAGCTGGCTTCATCTGTGTGTTAAAGGTCCTGTATGTGATAGTCAAAGGCTTATTATATCAGCAAACAACTGTTTGCTATGTAAAGATGTAGTGTAGTCACATGTCGTCTGTGTGTGTTGTAATCCAAGCTTCTCTGTGCTTGACGGTGACGCAGCTCATGCACATTAGTGAAGTCCCTGTTGAATGTGTCCAGATTTCTATGTGTCCATGTTAATATTCTTTAAGTCCGTTAGGGTCCACAAATCAAAGTATCAATAAAAATAAAAATGAATCCAAGTTGTGGATATTGTTTTAAAAGGATAAAGAGAAGTGTTGTGTTGCTAAGCAGGGTGCCATAAACAGAGCATCATAACTCTCTCTCTCTCTCTCTCTCTCTCTCTCTCTCTCTCTCTCTCTCTCTCTCCGATGTACTATCTCTCGGAGCTAGATCGAATGAGAAAATAATATTCATACTGGTTTGAATAAACAACTTGATAGTGTTTTTGCAAGTGTTTTGTGCAAAATGAATTAAAGGACTGTTCCATAGATGCCTGTCCCAAATATACACTGGCCGAGTTCAGTGATTGAAGCAAATAATTAATTACAGTTTTCTGGTATATAACACGCTACTCCATTCACATAAAGGTTATCAAATCAAGTACTTTATTGGTATTGGTATCGCTTTAAGGGTACTGGTGTTGTGATTCTTCAAACAATACCCATCTTAAACTGAGCCTGTTATGAATTTTGCACTATATTTATTCTCATTCTCTTGTTTTCTCTTTGCTTCACAGCATTGCTATAGCGTTAAAAAAAAGAAGTAACAACACGCAAGCATACATGTGAAGCTGTACGTTATTACCCATGTCGCCATAGCTTTAACTCCAGCAGGCAAAATGTCCACTTTCATTAGCAAAAAGAACGCAAATATGTCTATTTGGCGATTCTTTGGTTTTAAACCAAATGAATAAGGAGAACCAGAGAACGTGTAAGTGATGTGTGATAAACAAGTCAGGACTAAAGATGAAAACACCACTCCTCCCCTCGTGCTTCCATCTAAACACTCAACATCCAACAGAATACACAAGTCTGCCACCATGTCCATCCACAAAGAGCAGTCGGACCAAACGCCCTACCACGGTGAGCAATCAGTGCTCAGTCATCGGGGTGATGAAAGCACAGGTGTGAAGGAAGATAGCTGCACATTCATAGGGATGATGCAAAAAACAAACAAACAAAAAGAAATTACCAACATTCAACATATCAGTCCTCTTTAGATTACTGGATCCAACACACTACAATTGTGCAACTACTTTCCTTCACAGAATTGTCTGTTTACTGCAAAAGAATCATCCATTTCTAATTCCAACATTAATATCATATTTCATGACAGTAATACTCAGTGTATTCTGATAAAAGCTTTGACTTAATTACTGTGTTTTGCTGCCTTCAATGAACACAGAAAGAGTTTTGTAAAATATCCATGCATTATGCATTACAATGAAGACATAAAATATGCTTGACCCAGCAAGGTTAATAAGTGGATCATTTATGCTTTCATCCAATATTGCTATCATATTTTCACAGTCCTGTCCCTCCACTTAGTTATCCTAACAACAGTAATTATATTTGCATGCTCACACTATTCCTTTTAACCTTATTAATGACAATAATTCAAACAGGATGTTTACACTTGTAGCTAAAAAGAACAAAGGTTACTCACTTTGCATTTTCATGCATTCTTACTGTTATTGATTCGGTATGATGACTGCCTTCACTGCAGTGACATTGCTGACATTATTTTATTCCTGTTATAAATGAAAGTCATTTCTCCCCATGACTTCCACTTATGTACCATAAACTGGACAATTGTCTTAAATATAAACTTGACTTGTACTCAGCGTCTACCTGCTAAGTGCCAGTTACAAAGCTTTATTTAAAGAACTGTACATTTACCTGTGAACAGTTTGTGCAGGTGGAGACGTGTGTCTGATTGCAGTCATGGCCAAAATACATATATGTTATTACTGTGAAGTATTTCTTGATTGCAGTTGCAGTATCGACATCTAAATTTACATGTACAGAGTTTTAATACCTCCTTTCTTAAGTGTGTTGCAAAAGAGAGAGTTAAAAGGTCCACTGTGTAGGATTTAGTGGCATCTATTGGCAGAAATGGTGTATAATATGCATAACTATGTTTTCATTAGTTTGTAGTCACCTAAAATAAGAATCATTGTGTTTGCCTTACCTTAGACTGTTTTTTTTTTTAATTTAATTTTATATACTTAATTAATCCCCCTGAGGGGAAATTCAATTGTTTCACTCTTTTGTCATTAACACACAGGTCCGAAAGACACACACATGCACAAAGTGGAGAGATGTCAGAGTGAGGGGGCTGCCTTGGTCAGGCGCCCCTGAGCAGTTGGGGGGGTTCGGTGCCTCAAAGCACATGGTTAAGTTTAGAAGAAAAAAAAACATAGTTTGCTCTACATTCAAATGGGAAGTGAACACCACTTTCCCTGGTGCAAATCCGGGGTTTGTCGCACCCATCCCCCACCCCTCCCGCCCTGTAGGGTCTTTCCAGCTCCTTATATTATGTCCTTATCGGCAGCATTTGAACTTTACCCCACCCAGAGGTGTATCATGACACCGTGAAAGGTTACATCCAGCTGCGTTACATACTTACACTGCCCTGCCATGTATCATGCCGTCACACATGCCGTTGTTGTCAGGTGTTTGATGCCAAAATCACTGACACGGACACAGACAGGCAGTATTCGACAACTTCGGGAAGCGAGTAGGCTGGACAATGATACATAAACCCAATGCTAAATTGACGGAGATCTTTCTCTGTTAATTTACTGAGCAAAAATTGCCAAGACTGCACTGGTTGTAGCATGTCAAACAAAATAATTTCTTGTTTTCTTACTTTTATGATGGTAATTTCAATAGTGTATTTGAATATGTGAATGTCAGACAAAGCAAGTCAGCTTGGTCCTTTGGAAACTTGGTTGGCCATTTTTCTTTTTCCTAGCTCATAGACCTAAACAAAGACCATAAATTACCTGTTAGTTGCAGCCCTTGAAATAAAGATTTAATAATCATCTATTATGCACAAAGAAAGAAAAAATATGTACAGATTAATACTTACGTTAATGCCCCAACGTCAAGTTGTCAAAGGTATTTTTTATAAAAATAAATATTATATATAATAGGCTGTTCAATCTTTTCACCTTTTTGGTGCCATGCCACCTGCTTGGATGAGCTTGTGAACATCCAGCATAACTCTTTTCATAAAGCATGCAAGCAAATTACAAAAGAGTGACAACACAGTGTGCGGTCATTCTATGGCAGTGCACTGTCAGACATTATAAAGCAGGCAGCACAAATTGCAAATAAAAGATGAAAGTGATAGGAAATGATTGAGGGGGTTCAGTGTTAGAGGGGGGCCCAAGCGTCCCTCATGCTGACGGTGGTCATAAATTAAAGCTTCGACGGCAAGGTGAGTTCCAAAATCTATCACTAATGCATCCGCTGAGAGATCAGAAAACACTTTTCTCCCCTGATGTCATTACTTTCCAACTGCTCCCTCTCACACACCAGGTGCCAAACATCATGCAAGCATTTTGAGTGATTGTTCCAAAACAGTCCTGAATGAAGCCATTGTGAACATTGACACAAAGCTTTCAGTCTTTAAAGGAGCTGACATTCAGAGGAGATCTATGATTCAGAGTCTGATTCAGGTTGTTTGCACACGGTTCTAAACTTGGAGGTGGCTGAGCTGGCCAAGTAGGTATAGCTGTGGCTGGAGCAGATATGTGACCCACCCACAATACCTACACCTTCGCCCCTTGGTCCTTAAACAGAAGCCCTAAAGAGAATGCTAAGATAGCATTTCGCTAGCTGTCCAGTGTTAGGTTAAAAGACAGGTGGTTTAGGTTAGGGTTAGGGTTATATCTTGTGACTTAAAAGGTGAGTCACACCTTTATGTACAATGAATCATAAAAGGGGTTATTGCTATGGTTGGCTTCATATTTGCTCACTACAACATTGCATTGTAGCAGGGTTTATATAAGTGTTGACATGGTGGGTTCGTCTTGTACTGATAGTGGGCAGTTTGTAGGTGCGTGTCGTGTAGGCCTCAAACAAAATGCGGCTGCAGTTTAACTAACGCAGGCTGGCTAGCTAATGGTGCTAACAGCGTTAACAGCGCTAATGACAGCAACAGTGCTGACAGAACTAACAATGTTAGCCTGGGGGAACACTGTAGAGTAAGCATTTTGTTCTGCGATGATGTTGTGGGTTGGGATGGTGTTATCAGCGAAAACAGCTTGATGAACGCAGTGCAGAATGGCAGCGATTGGCTGGCCAGTGGGACATATACACAGGGTCTTCACTACCATGCATACACTGCCACACTGTCTACCACAACAAAGAAGAGAGTAGCTTGGATTGCAACACACACAGAGGGAATGTGACTTTCTTCTCTGTTCAGGATGCCATTACTTACATCTTTACATGGCAAACAGTTGTTTGCTGTTATAAGACTCTGAATGTCACACGCAGGACCTCTTACACACAGAAGCCAGCAATGTATTTCATGTCTGAAAAGGGGGCTTTTTGAAATATTATGAGAACAAAGTCTAGATTTATCCGTCATTTATGATGCCTCCAAAGAGATGTTATCAGTGTTTTTGAAACAGTGACCTTCTCTATATTTGAAGTATGTTTAAAAAAAAACAAAAAAAAAACTAAACTAATATTTACCCTGCTTCCAGTTTGTCCCATTCAGAGACTACATCGACAGATCTGGAAACCAGGTTCTCAGCATGGCCCGGCTGGCCAAAGATGTCCTCGCTGAGATCCCCGACCAGCTGCTGTCTTTTATGAAGAGCCGAGGAATTGAACCGCGACCGCCCCTCTCCTCCTCGCCGCTACCGGCGTTACACCGGCATGTCTGACCCCGACACCGCCACGGCCCCTCGCATCTGCCTTTCCATCCTGACTCTCTCTCTATCTCTCTCTTCCCCCCTCTGCTTATCTACGCTCGCCTCCCATACAGTCATTTGTCACTTTAAAAGGAGCAGAAGGATCAACCCGTGACTTGCCCTCTTCCTCTCTTATCACCGATGAAGCCAAACACGCACATCAAGCCAACACAGCGGGCGCTCATCCCCGACTGACCTGCTGCTGTTCTTCATCTTTTCTTCTCTAACTCACCCTGTTATATAGCTTTTCTTTTCATTTACTGTATGAACGAGCAGTGAGACTGAGCCATAGCTGTCCCTCTCCTCCCCACTGAGTACCATCCACAGCTCAACTTTTGAATTTGTCTGCTAATTCCCCTCACCAGACACATTTTTGCACAAAAACTTTTTACTTTCGTCCTTGTGCTCAGCAAGTGTTGACACCAGTCACATTTGGCAGCAGTCCCAGAAAGTGCAAGACACTCAATTAAATTGAAGCTAGTCCCCGATGGAAGCAGAACTCTTGATGAGCAATATACGCCAGCTTGTATCAGGTGCTTTGGGGATATTTTTGGCCAAGCCTCCACTGTGATCTATTGGAGTAATTGGTCACCATGAGGACAGGTGTTTGTGATTTATCCTTTACCATCGTCATTATCATTAAGCTGTGACTAATCTCTTTAAACTCAAATAGAGGTTGCCCAACAATTAGTTCAATCCAGGGGTTTTCAAACTGTGAGAGGCGCCTCCCCAGAGTGTGGGAGAGTTGAAAGGGGTGAGGACATGGGGCAAAGAGACAGGTGCACGACGGTGTTCTAAACGCAGTAATTGTAGTTTTGCCCATTGATTTGTCTGCTTATTATCACGGTCAGCAGTTAGAGCTGCAACAGGGACTGTGAGCATTCAGCTCATGGAGGCAGTTACTCTTCTTTAAAGGTCCCATTTTGTAAAAAATCTGATGCCCATGTCTTTTTCATTATAAAGCAGGTATAGGTGCTGTATAAGTATTGTGAAAGTGTCAAAATGCTCAATCCACAGAGAAATGCACAGTCTGTATTCTTAAAGTGTATCTTTAAATGAGCTGGCAGGACGTGAAGTTGTGATATCACAACTATAGTTTATAGACCATTTTAAACTTGACAACATAAACATTCTGAGTGGGTCCTTTTATATTTGCAGTTGGAATGTTTGTTGTAGTAGCTGATAAGGAAACTGTAAAAGAAGGAAAATCAAATACATACCTGCTGATGTACGTGCGGCACAGTGACGATCTGTGATCTGTTTAATTGAAGTCTGGTCAGTGATAACAGGTCAGAAATGTGTTGTTTGATCTAGGGCTGTAGTCAACCAAAGAAAATCTTGATCTAATCTCTAATCTCTGACTAAAGTCGCACATAATCTTCAACTAATCGATTAGTCGTGGGAAAAAAAAAATCTGCACGTTATTTTTACTTCTGCGGTGGTGTGTCTGTCACTCTGTAGTTAAACCTCCAAAACACTAGTCGGCGGTGGAGGACTGTGTTAAGTGCTGTAAAGTTTAGTTCAAATCAGACTCTATTTATACAGTTGATTCAAAACACACATTAAACCTGTCTTAATAGAGACAATTTCAAACACAAGTACGCAAACTGGCTTCACTATAAATCGCAGAACTGACAAACACTGGACACATTTCCCCCACCAATACAACATGCTAACCTTATTAGCTCAAGTCTATGGCGTTTTACATTGTATAAATTAGCCTAGCATCTAGTGATCTTTTCCTCTTCTCATATAAAACCAGGGACAACAGCAACATGTAACAAAGGTAACGGTATATATTTTGGTTTTATTACAACTCACAACATTTACCGACAAAACAACTGTCTTATACTAAACACGTTTTCCAAGTAAATACAACATGCTAATGTTATTAGCGCCAGACTATGGCATTTTACATGGTATACATTAGCCTAGCAATGAGTGGAGATTTCCTCTGCTCATATGAAGTCAGGATAAATCCCGAAGTATAAATCCCTGAAGGATAAATCACACACACACGACTTAAAATGCTATTTTAGTGGAGGCTTTACTGTCTTCACAATTTATTGTTTCTTATCTGTGAAATACGAGTAAACACAAGCTTTGTTTCCACTGAGGGAAATGGTTTCAGTATACAAAAACTGACAGGAGGTCTGCATCACTGCGACGCTGAGCGTGAGGGTGGGCGAGTCCAACTTTCTGTCAACAATGTAACTTAGCCTGTTCCCCTGCCACAAGAAATAATGGATTAATCCTGGAAAGCTGCTGATGTAGCACTTTTTTCCTTATGAAAGTAACACAGCGATTATTCGACTATTGAGAATGTAGTCGGATGACAGCATAGCGACCAAATAAACGACTAGTCGACCAGGAGACTACAGCCCTAGTCTGATCATGTATCGTCATGTACTGGACCAAACAGGCTTGGGTGAGATAACTTTATATGCAGCTGACAGAGAGAGCCATGATCTGTTTGGAGACCAGTAACCAGGAAAATAAACGCCTTAGATAAAAGACGTCAGTCACCATCACGTAATGTGTGTTTTTTTATTTTGAAAGAGCATTTTGCAGTCAAAGGTGAATAGTGGGACTTGCCATGCCTGCCCCATTAACGTCAGGACAAGTCTGGCACCAATGCAAAATCTGAATGCTGTCACTGAGGTAATGACCCTTCCTTCTTTTATAGGTTCCTTCGTAGCTGACAGGAGGTAAACAGGGACCAAAGCTGTTACTGTGGCAACAGAAAAGCATTGAAACGCTCTACAAAGGCAGAAAGTGCAGCCACCATGGCGTCACAGTCACCAAGAATGCAGATGTAGAAGACCCTGAAATGCCGACCGAGGCCTTTTCTGGCGGGGAAAAAAATGGAGTGTTTCGGACAGAGGGTGAATACAGGTACAGAGTATGGGACCTTTAAACACTCGATTGCGTCAACCATCATACTGCTTCTCTGAGTCATTTAAATCTAAACACACAGACATGATACGCATATATTTAGATGCAGTGTGACCTGCACTTTATGTGGATATTATTATCGTCATGTCCATCACAAGAAAATAAATAGATAAACAAATCTCCTTAGTAATCATAGAAAAAGGTGCCTCTGCAAAACTTGCCTGAGAATCATCACATTTTGAAGTTTTCTTCAATAACAGAGTACTCCAGTGATAGCTGTCTGTGCATCCATGGGTATATTGCAAATAGAAACTGCTAATAGCTGATTCTGCATACTTTTAATAGGGTGACTTTGTCAAAATGTGAACAAATATAACCGAAAAATGTGGCTTAAATTGTAGCCAACAGCGGACTGACAACATTATACTTCTGGGACCTCATTACAGAAAAATACCTTAACTGCTTGTCCTATCTTTACTTGAGTTTCAAAGATATCTTTAGAAATCCAAACTATAACTTTAAATTTGATTCTTCGTACGGCACTCGTCCTGTCATGTATACAGTGTACACAAGACTGTATCTTTTATTAGAATGTACCTGTAGGCAATGGATAACCGGCTCTCTCTTGTCACCTCTGCCGGAGCTCTATGCCTCCTTTTCGGCTATCAAATTCAAAATGAATCGTCCTGGCAGCTGATATATATTCATTGACATACAGTGTGGGAAATGTCATCACACAGTTTGAGTAGCTTTTCAATAATTATATTTCTGTGTTGATGTTGCTCCCCATCTTCATTGTCATTGCCATAGAGACTTAACAACAGTGCTGCTGTTATTCTGAATGTAGGACAGGGCCCATGCTATCCTTATTTGAGATTCCTAACTTGAGAAATCTCTACACTGAGACAGTTCTGTAATAGCTAAAGTCCTGTTCTAAGATAAGATAGGATTTCTTTGTTGATGCTGTCAGGAAACATGTTTCTGTAATACCAAAACCCCTAATTGTCATCCTAAACTGAGATAAGATAGGATGTAATACTCAAGACGTTTCTGTAATGAGGCCCCTGGTTTACAACCACCAAATTATAGGAACTGTATTTCTAAAAATTAGAGCCTGATTATCCCCTAAATGAAAGTAAGACACAGAGACTATTTTAAAATGTAGGCAAGGCTGGTAGGGTGCAGTCGTCTTAATTATGTTTAAGGGCCCACAGTGGAAACTCCTGGTTTAATCCAACCAAATGAATTAGTCCAGGAGGAGCATTCAAAGAGACTCTTTGAGTCTCTGATGTGGACGTCATACAGAGGGTAGCAGACAACTGGGGTTCCGGTCACATGTTCATTATTAACAGTAACAGACCTTCACTCAGACACATAGGTACAGAGACAAACACACACACACACACACACACACACACACACACACTTCTGTCTGCCCCACCACACCCACCCTCTCCTTGCTCAGCGTGTGCTGAGGCTGGGTGCAGATTCCTCTCCTGCTGTTAGAGAAATGCCAGTCTCTCCGGCTGCCCTGCAGAGAGGAGGAGGAGGAGGAAGGAAGGAAGGAAAGAAGAAAGACAGAGAGAGGAGGTGGGAGTAAAGTGTAAAGAGATCCTAAAGAAAATGTAGGATGGTGAGGAAGAAATAGAAAGAAAAATAAATGAAAGACAAGGCCATAAGAGTAAGGAGGAACAATCCAGAGATTAGTACGTTTGATGTCAGCAGGGAAAGAAAAATGGGAGAAAGCAGATGGTGGCAGATGAGAAGCTGAATGGGAGATAGTAACAAGAGGAAGACTATGGCTCAGTCTTTACTTTGAGTTTTTCACTGTCTGATAAGTCTTTGTGTGCATTTTTTTTTTTTTTTTTTTTGAGAAAGAAATCTCGATCAATTACAAATGCACATTCTCCGAAAAGCAATATACCTGAGTCCCAGTGAAATGTTTTCCCTATGCATGTCCCTCCCTCTCCCCTGCCATGACTTGACATTTTATTCTGAGGCAGACTGGAGTTGTGTACAAAGCGGGCAAAGTCTGCCACCTAGTGTTCATCATTTGTATAGCAGGGTATCTTTATTATGCATGACTACTGTACATTCCTATACTCGCACAGTGCAGACGCATGCCCTGATGCAACTGTCCTTACAAACATAAGTGACTGTAAGTGCAGTGAATTCAGGCATCATTAAGAACTACACCCTCCAACACACGTATGTTCTCACATGAAATGTGACGGTCACTTTTTGAAGATTTGTTAATGTCAGTGTGATGATGGTGGCTTAGAGGGGTGTTTACGCTGTTCTATGTGTCGTGTAAGTATATTGATTTTCATAACCTTGTACAATAATTATTTCAATCGTCAGGTTTTTGCATGTTGAGGAATAAATGCCTTCCAGTGTTCCAGTGGTCCTTGTCATTGCAACTGATTGTCAAAAAAAAAAAGAGAGAAGTATATCTCGGAATAATATGCATTTTTCTCGTGTCACTGTATATTTTCATTAGTAGATTTCAGAACTGACTTGCTTTGTGCAGTGTCTTGCAGAAACCTGGTGTATTCAGTAAATGAAACTTGTGAATTTCCCCATTGAGAGACATGTATTTTTGATATTTTGCAATGATATGGAATGCTCGCAGGGTCATACAAAATAGACACGTTAGGTTTCTGCACGACACAAGTGGGATCAAAAACTATTCTGATGGCACTCAAAGCCTGTAGTGTGATTTTTGTACAACAAGAGCATTTTTGTCTGTCTCTTAACTTTGTCTTATGGCTGTATAACTATGTGTTTATTCAGTGCACTGATCATAGTGTTTACGAAATGATCATTTTCATTGTATATACAGTATGACGAAATA